CCCCCCCCCCACTGTGAACGTCTGCACGGTTGTCTTTTAATTATCAGATATCCTCCCCCTTGTGCCATTTATGTGCCAGGTCCCTGCATGCCAGATCACGTCTTTAAAACACACACACACACACACACACACACACACACACACACACTTTCTCTCTCTCTTAAGGAGGTCAGTTAATAGTAAAAGCTGCAAAGACGACTCTTCTCTGTGTGCATCGTTGCTGTCCCCGTCTTTCACTCAAAGTGAGGTTAAGCTAACTCCCAAGAATGAAACCGAATTTTACTGAGTCTTCCTTTCTGCCGTGGCTGGCACAGCCGGCACGCTCGGCCTACAGCAGCACAGTCAGGGTGTATCAGTATTTGGCTGTTAGATACAAGTAATTTCTCTCTCCCAGTGCGACACATACAGCCCCCTTAAGTGTTTTGTCTGGGTCTCAGCCCATCTGCTTACAAACTGGGCTCGAGTCTCGTACGAGCTTGATGTGGCTTGATTTAAAGATCGCTGTTTCTAGTTTGACTCGTAAAAAAAAAAACCTTGAGACTTTTGGATGGAAACTCATGCGGTCCAGCTTTTGTTTGTGGCTTCATGTTGCAAATATGTTGTACAGATTAGAAATGTTTTATGTTGTTTCCTTCCGGTGGGTTTAGTGTTCAGCAATTGTTTAACCACTTTTACAATAAAGAGCCATTCATTTTCAACTGTTCAAAACAGGATGTAGATTATAGGGAATGAATAGGTTTGTGAACATTTGTCGCTCTGGTCAGTTTCATTGTTTATCTTGAGATGAATTCATTTGAAATTCATATTTTGTGTATATGACACAACATGTCAGCAGCTACAGTTCTTTCAACTTGGCCCTCAGAAAAACTAACATAAATCTTATAATTTCATTTTGTTCGCCCACATGCTTTCTTTAAGGTGTGTTTCAAAGCTGACTTTCATTTAGGCGATACCTTCTAATGAGCGTTTGTCACAGATTTATGTGCCAAACCAAAATATGGTTACGTTGAATAGATTTGACTTTAGGATAAATACAAATAGAGAATAACTTGGGGGAGGCGGTCAGTCATAAATGTCATTTCGACTCAGCTGTCAATCAAAGCTCTAACAAAAGCTGCCACTTTCACACTTTTTGTCCCTTTTATTTTTTCATCAACATTTCTGTTCCAGCTCCGTTGCTTTTCTTTCTCTTTTCCCTTACCTAACCTGATGTTTTCTTTTCTTTTCAGTTCTCGCTCTATTTATCCACCTTCTCTGTCTTCTCCTGTCCAGCTGCTCTCATTTAACATCCTCATCTCTGTCCAGCCTTTGCCCGTCCCTCATCCCGCCTCTGCCTCTGCCTCTGCCTCTGTACTCGCCTGTGTGAGTGATGGAAGGTGAACTCAAGTGCTTTTGCCCTGATAATGTAATGAACCCCTCCCTCCTTATCTTCAGAGGCACAGCACACCAGAAAGAAGGGAACCGCTGGTTCTGTGTGTGTCAGTATTTGTGTGTATGTGTGTGCCAAACGGTGCACTGCTTGGCATGTTGTGTTTAGTTTTGCCTAGAACAGTCCTGAATGTGCCCACTGTTTCTCTGGTGAATAGATGATGGAAGTTACTCGATAACGCACAGTGACCCTCAGTGAGTGTGTTTGTTGCAGGTGTGTGTTTGTGGTTGCCTCAGCGCTTGTGTGTGCATTACAGGTTGATTTAGTCAGTTTTAGCACATTACAATTTGAACGAATCTTGTTTAATTGCCAAAACCTCTATGGTGTGTGCGGGATAAAACATTCATATAGGCCAAATCACATCTAGTGTTATGCATACCCCTCTACCTTTTTATTTGAGGTTGCAAAAAGTAGCTATTAAAAATAGTCCACTACACCTTTAGGAAGTTGATACACCATCAGTTAGTCAGTGGGCTTAATAACAATAAATTAGATTGTAGATGTGGATGTTAGATAAAGCTAGAGGCCAGACTGAGATGGTTTGGACWTGTGCAGAGGAGGGGCAGTGGGTATTTTGGTAGAAGGATGTTAGAGATGCAGATGCCAGAGAAACGTCAAAGAGGAAGGTCAAAGAGGGGATGCAGTTAGAGACGACTGTAGAGGCAGTTGGAGTAAGTGGATAGAGGAGAGAAGATGTTGTGGATATTATGGCTGTTTATTAGGGCTGCCACAAAGGATTATTTTTATAGTCGACTAATCACAGAATATTTTTTTTCGATTAGACGACTAATCGGATCATACGTTAATTGAATATAAAACATACAGCTTATTGCGCCAGAATGCAGCTGCTATTATATAACCATCGTTAGATTTTAGCTATAGCGAGTAAAATAAGTATTGAACACGTCACCATTTTTCTCAATAAATATATTACTAGAGGTGCTAATGACATGAAATTTTCACCAGATGTCGGTAACAACCCAAGTGATCCATAA